GTCTTGTGTTCGAAAAAATGATTTGAATTGTATTTTGCATTGTCTTGTCCTGACTAGTAATTATTCCCTGCAGTGCTTGACCATGCATGCAATGAAGCCATGTTCTAAACAACCACACAAAAGTATTTGTGTTTTCGTTCGATACCAATCCACGACCCAACAGTGTAGATTGTCCGTGATGATTGACGCCAACAAAAGGGTTGAAAGGCATGTCATACTTGTTTGTCAGGTAAGTGGTATCAAATGTAACATCGTCGAACTCCTTATACGCTTGTCTACAGCGATTATCTGCCCAAAATATGTTCTTCAACCGAGAATCATCGTCTAGATCTATACTAAAAAAAAATCTCGAGCATTGTGTCTGCATTTTTGAAAAGTATATGTGTATTGCGGTGGCATCTTTTTCAATGTAATTTCAACAATCCTTTTCCACGCAACTCATGTTCTCATAACCACCTACTTCTACAATAGCTAAATTGTAACTTTTATGCAATGTAATTCCTACCAAATCATTGACTTGTAACTTGTGCTTCACATGTGCACTCTATTCTCTATTGCATCGAAATAACCTGGACCTTGAAAGGCTAGTTTCATGATTGTGGTCAAGGTAGACCGTGTTAATCCACAAACACCATAAATATTTGCAAAAGCAGAGATTCTCACTTTTACAACCCAGCTGTATGTTGGTTGTGGCTTCGAAGATCCGCCAGTATTTTAGATTCTTCAACCTTCTCGACCACATGTCATTGTCACATATCTCAACTCTCCATTGTCCTCCTTTTTTGAATTTCTTTTTTTAACCGAAAAAATCAATAGCATACACATATTTTTTGCACATGTCAAACATATCTTTTAAAATTTTAAACTCCATACCATTCTCATGATCAGATGCTGCCTAAACACCATCATGTTCATCTTGCACTTCATCCATAATTTCTTCCGCTGCAATAAGATAAGATATCACGTTCAATAATCCATAATAACAATATTATAAGGTTATCTTTAATCACATTTTTCATTTCCACGGAGTGCATTTGCTTGTCTAATAATTTCAACATAATGACAATTTATTACATAGCTCATTTGATACATTAGCCCGTGTTTAAAATGACCCGCAAATGAAGAAATTAGATAAAATTGCCCACAGGTTCAGTTAAATTATAAGGTTTCAGTGCTTCAAAATAATTAATGACTTATTGGTCCTAAAATTGTTAAATTTTTTCCCAAACTATTGACCATTCATGTCATTCCCACTAACTAGAATTTGAGAGAGTTACTGCATTTTAATTGAACATTCAATGCCGTTTCTCTAGTTAAATTGGTGCACATTAATGTTAACCCCACAAGCCATAATGGCAATAAAAGACCCTACTAATTAAAGAATCGAAATTGAAGGAAACTTACTAATTAACTGTTGGAAAACTTAGATACAGTGGCTGTACGTTTGGCTCCGATGGCAGAGACAAAGAAATCGGGTTTTGACTAATTCTTCAGTTGGTCGGATTTCAGAACGTGAAGATGTCGACGTTGTCGGCCTTTAAAAAGGAAGAAAAATTATTTGCTTTAGTTTGGGGAACAATGATAACTAGTTTGTAAATGGCAAAATTCCATGTCAACGTTGGTGAAAAGGGAAGAAGATGCGTAGAATCAGGTTGGGAAAAATTGGTCAACAGTGTGTAAATGGCGAAAATAATTAATTAAGGAACATTTTTTCTCCCCCACTTTCCATTTTTGATTGAAAATAATTAATTAATGAACATTTTCTCTGTCCCATGTGCGGCTTCATTTTTCCCTCCAAAAAGGTCATTATTCGTTCACCCTGTTTGACAAGAATAATTGTTCTTTTCAACCACACAAGCACACATTATTCATTAAAAATAATATTGCACGTAAATTAAAATCGTTTTCTTATTTTTCAATTACACATTTTCCATCAATATACTATTATAAAATACAAATTTTCATAAAAATAGCGCTCAAACACCCTCTTATGTACAGATATTTTACTGCATATTTAGACTTTGGCCTAACTTTATTTAAAAAAATAACTATAAATAAATTAATTTTAAAAGATAATTATTTTGGTGATTAAGAAAGGTAAATTTTTTATTTGTAAGAAAGAGTAATTTATTCTAACATATTTAGGAATAAAAATTTAGTAAGCCATGAAATTTAGCTTTTGATAACTATTATTTTCGAATTTTTTTCTACATACTCATTTTCAACACATATTCATATAATAAAATATTTTGCACATAAATATAAAATTTTTCTATTTTTTAACTATACATTCTATTAAAAATCACAATTCAAGACTCTGTTTCTCAAAAAGTATGGTTGTCAAACAAGGATTTAATTTCTGTTTAATCAAACAAACAAAAAATAGATTGTATTGGTAAAAAAATGTAAATTTAAAAATTATATTTGATAAAATGAGTAACTTAAGGTATTATTGAACACTGTGGATGGCGGACAAATTTTAAAAATAGACACCTTTTTAGAAATTATAAGTTAATCAAATTTTATTTTTAACTACACATTTTATTGAATCTACAATATGTATCTACTTATTAAACTTGCATTTCATATGATTTACCAGCTTACAATCTCCCAAAAAAAAATGTGAAACAATAACTTAATATCATAGTCCTCTACTTTTTCAAAAATTATGAAAACCTCCCATAAAGTTTGTTATCTATAACAAATTCTCCATATAAGTCAAAAACAAATTCATAATTTCCACTCTAGCTTGGCGCTTGTTCCATTTCCATTTTTTTAGAAGTGTGGTTAAAAAAACATAAAAAATATATAAAAAACATAAAAGCTTGTATTTTTTTTTAAAAAATGAGAGAGAATTGATTCTCGAAAAATCAAATAATGGCTTCGATGTTTGTTTCCGAATAGTGATTTTTAAGAATGTGTGGTTAAAAAATAATAATTTTTCCACGTCTATGGAAGAATGTGTGATGGAAAATGAATTTTGAAAACAGGAGTTTTTCAAAAAAAAAAAAAAAAAAATGGAGCTCAATTTTTTAATCTAAATCAAAGTTAATAATAAATTTCAATGATATATTTTTTAAGACCCACAACTTTTTAATTACAGATCAATTTTTATCAAAATTTATTAATTTTTTTTATTTTAATCCCCATTAAATAGAGGGCTGAATACGTTTTTAGTAACGACTTTTTTTTTATATTCAAATATTAGACTAATTCTGACAAATGGTAATTCGCACAAAATGTCAATATCTTTTAATGTTAGTGTGCAAAATATTTTTACCTTTCATTTTTTGGTATTTTCACCTCACATTGTGGAACACGTCATTTTCACCAATTTTTAACGTAAAATGAGCAATATACTTGCCTATTTAAATAAAACAAAAACAAAAGAAAAATAAAGAACAAATTGCAATTTTACTCCTAAAATTTTGAGAAAATTACAAATAATCCCACAAAAAATAACTTCACCGTCATGGAGCTGCTGGCCTCCATCTCACCAATTACCACCCAATTGTCACCTAAAACATCGTAGCTCACACTAAAAAAAACCTATCATCAGCCCCCAAACACTTTCTCATGAACAAATTGAACAAACAACAAATTCGTATGGATAAAATCAACGAAAAATCAAGCTTATCGCACGAGCAACACGCTGCCTTTTCTGTCCATTTCAGCATTGACGGTCGTTCCCACAATCGCGGACCACCCATTCGCGCTTCATTGCAAGACGCCACATTTGCTACAACAGTGGGCTTCCATCCTTAGAATTTCTGGCCAGTTATTGCTTAATAAAAAATTGAAAGTTGTTGCTGTAGATTTTGATTTTGTGCATCTATTGATCTTTTAAAACCATGAAGGGAAGTGTTCAGGTGAATATAGTTGATTGGTGTATTAGAAATGACATGGGTATCGCCGAAACATGTGGTGTCACCAATATTTGTATTCGCGAGTTCGATATTTTGGCTTGCAATTTTGACCAAATCTACTGACATGAATGCTGGATGTTGGGTGGTATTTGTAGAGGAGAGCGAGGGCTTTCCAGTGTTACAGAGGCTCAACACTTTGGATGGTGTTTGTTCATATATTTTTTGGCTTCTAAGGTGGCGGCCCTAGGTTATATTGATCATTTTACGTTAAAATTGGTGAAAATGATATTTTTCGCAATAAAATGTAAAATTAGAGGTAAAAATGTTAAAAAAAAATCAAAAGTATGGACGTTTCGCACAATAACATTGAAATGTAATGACATTTGCTAATTACCTTATTGAAAGTTGACACCTTTGAACACTTGATGCAACAAAAGACATTCCTTTGAATATTGATTCACCTATAATGATGATGCTAACGCGTAGCGAGTAAGTAATATATTAATGAAGTGCAAGTAAACTAAACCATCATTTGGTCCCATTAAATTAAATTTTATTTTTCTCTCTTATATTTTTAATCATACAATTTTTCATAAAATAATATTACACATAAATAAAAAATATTCCTTTTTTTCAACCACTCATTCAAAAAAATATATTATTCCTTCTATTTTAATTTGAAAAAATAGGGCTAAACAGGGGTTAGCTTAATTTGAAAGTCAAACGCACAAATTTACCCATTATTGGTTAAAAATTTAATTTGCAATGAGAGAAGCAATTAAAGGGAAGAAAAATAAATGTTCGAGAAAATGATTAAGTGTTAAAAATCTCGATTTTGCTTAATCTTGGTCTATTTAACTTCATAATCTACAATTTAACGTCTGATTCATTTTCAATTGATCAAACAAATTCTCCTAAGTAGTTAATTACCTCTCTTGGACTTGAAATTAATGCTTATTAATTGCATTAATTACTATATTTGTTCATAAACTAATTAAACAATCAACTGCATTAAATAAAATGATAACCTCATCGGAGATCCCACAATAAATGAAGGCAATTAAATCATAGCAATCACATGCATAAACGAGCAAGACTTGAAATAAAATTGCAAATGTTGATGGTAATCAAACAAAGATGAAGTCATGTCATTAATCCTAGAATAATTCTGCATGTCCAGATTACTGTATCATAGAAATTGGCCAAAGTTCTCACACGTGTGGCCCCATGCGATGATAAAAAAATGCCAAAAATTCACTCCATCCACTCCCTGCTGTGAGTTTTTAGTTGCATTTCTGTGAAATGACTTTCCGTACACATAGAAAGGTCATTAATCCCAACATCGTGCAAATTAGCACATAACATAAAAGGAAAGAAAATACAAAGGTTTAGGGAATACTTCACCAAATTGTTGAAATTATAGAGAAAATGAATATAGAACATTTGGAACCAGTCCTTAAGAGAAGAATTCTGGAGTGAAATTGAGCTTTGGCCTTCTTCTCCACTTCTACTTTTACCCAAAAATCTCCTTTTATTGCCTGTGTTCCCCTCTTTATTCTCTAAAATCCCATCCCAATGCTGACATCCATTATGAGAAAAAGAGTATTTATAGCCTTTTTCTGTTGACCTAAAAACTTGGGCACAAAGCACACCAAGTTGTCATCCAGAACAAAAGAAAATCACACAACATTTTGCTTGCTAGGAAGCATGTTGGAGGCCTCCAAAAGTCGTCCAGAAAATGTGTTTTTTCTGATTTTTCCTTGAGTCAGATTCTTTATCCTCTTTTGCCTCTTTCCTTTGATCCTTGAGCTACCCAAAGCACCCCGAGCACGCCTTTTCCGTCTCTTCTCATTAATTTCACCGCCAAAGCTCGGGACTCAATTCTCCCATTTTACTTTGAAATATCAACTTCCTCTCTTTCTTTCCAATTTCATCAATGTAGCTCACATTCGGAGAGTTATTACTAAAACACGAAAATAAACCGAAATCAATAATAATGGCCTTCATTTAGGAATCGAGATATCCAATTGCATCCACAGAATTCAAAACATTGGACTAAGTCCATGGCTAGAGGAGGAATATACATTTAAATACAGCATATGCTTCTTCTCGAAAATCACCTGCCCCTGTTCACACATTCAAGGAGTGATTCTGTTTGTCCATCGCCACCATAACATTTCCATGTCTTAGAACAATAGAAAGCTATGAATCACCATAACCAGAAACAGTTGCAATCATCTGACGACATGCTTTAATCAATTTTTCAGAATAAAACATAGAAAAGAAGACAAACAATATGTAGTAGCTAAGTTCTTAAGCAACCAAGAATATGAACCTACAGCCAATTGATTTTCAGAAGACCCCTTTGCTACCGATCTCATAAGAAACACCAAGGAACTTTGGTCTATAGAGCTACTCCGAAGTTGGAATACGGGAGGGTGTATGTTTGCAGACAACAAAGCAAAAAAAGGGTGCTTTTGAATTTTATATATTTATGAGTGAAGTATCATAGGATCATATTTTATTGAAGCATTCATTTACACAATGGGACTTTTATATGCAAACCCCTTATGAAGACTATGGTTTGACAGCATACATGAATGGACTTCAACTACAGGCTCCGAGCTTCAAATAAGACACAACTGTGAGACTTCATCTCATACGTAACTGATCCATCCTTCAAAGGAACCCCATCCGTGGTGAAAAATCCTGGAAAAGGGAGGGACGTATCAACCAAACGAAACCATGCTATGTCTTCTGTAAGTGGTGGGAGAACAATATTCTCTGAGCGACCAGCACTGTTGAAGGCAATGAACAAGTCACCAATCATCTCATGCAAACCTGAGGTTGGTTGGCTCTCTTTTGAATCAGCCTTCAAAGTCATAGCCAGGAATCTGCATGATGGTTCATCCCATCTTGGTGGAGACCCATCGCTTCCATGCCACTCAATGTTTTCTTCTTTCCAGAAGTTTCTATTCTGAAGAAGATCACTTCGTCTCATTTTCAATGAACTCAAAAAGGTAATAAATTTTGTGGTCTGAATAGCAAAGCCGGATTTCAAGGCATTCCAATCCAAAGGTTTCCGATCAGCATGGGCTGGGGAACCCCCAGAAGATTGACCACATTCATCTCCCATGTTAAGGACTGGAACACCTAAGGAAAAAAACAAAATAAAGAGATAATTGCGGATCTGTTTAAGTCGCCTCTCTAGGACAGCATTTTTATTTGTGGGACCTTCTTCCCCACAATTCCAACTTAACTCTGAAGCTAGTTCACTGCTACTGAAGCAGACTAAATCCACAAGCGGAAGCCCAGCATTTCTTGAAATAAAATTGAAAGAGAACGCTGGACCTCGTCCATCCAAGAAAAGATTCCCACTTCCACAGAGCCTTGTTGCTAGATTGCCTATAGATCCTTGACCCCTCAAAAAGTTCCTCACATCGTTACAAAACTTTGAATTGATTTCTGCCCATCTCTTCCAATGAGGAAATGAAATATCCTTTGTCTCCATGTTGTGGGGGTCCCAAGAGTCTGCTATTATCTTGACCTTTGAAAGCAGGGGATCAAAAGCAATAGCTTCAACCAAAGGAGGCCGGGTAAGGAACTCACCATGGAAGCCTTTCATGAGAGAGGAGGCATCAATGAAACAGAATCCATCAATGTGATATTCAATGACCCAATGCCGGAGACTGTCTAAGATAAGTTGTTGGACAATGGGGTGATTACAATTTAATGCATTTCTAGATTTCAAGTCCTCTCCTCCTCCAACATGATAGTAAGATCTATCAATTTGTTTTAGTGCTGCAACCTCTGCAGTATGCGTGAAAACAACTTCCACTAAAACCTCTATTCCGTTGAGATGTAACTTTTTCACCATCTCTTTCATCAATTTGACTACAAACTCAGAGTCACCAGAAGGTCCGTATGGGCTTCCAGGAGAAAAGAAATGCCAGGGAAAATAGGGTCCTGTCTGCTCATCAAAAGGGAAGATGGGCTCTAATAAGATTGCATTGACTCCAAGATCTTTGAAATGATGCACTTTTTCAGAAATACCAGCAAAAGTTCCCACAATTTCTCCAGGTAGCTTACTGGACTCATCCTTAGTAAATCTAGTAACATTTAATCTATAGATGATCAGCTTCTCCATGGGTAAGCTAGGACGCATATCTCCACTCCAATCAAATCCAGATTCCTTCCACAATTTTCCAAGGGATTTTCGAGGTAAACCCGAACCAAAGTCTTCAATTAACTTTGCATATGGATCCAAAAGAACATACTGCCTTTTCTTGTCAGCATTACTCTTGCAGCGATAACCATAGCGAACAAACGGCACAGAACCATCTAACAACACGTGCCAAATATCACCTGATCGATTAACATATGGATCTAGATCAATCTCTAAAGCAGGTTTGTTAGCTGTGGTGTCAGCATACAGGCACAGAACCACACTTTCTGCATTGCGCGAGAAAAAGGCAAAGTTCATGGATCCATTAGCTAAAATGGAAAGGCCTAATGGAGTAGGACGACCCGATCTGAAACCAACTGGCACAATAAAATTTGTCTTCCTGTGACTTCTGATTTCTGAGCTTTCCAAATCAGAACCTAGAGACTTCAAAAGAACAGAGATGTAAAACGGGGCCAAACTTTCATCAAAATCTAGCTCAACCACCAATCTCCCAGAAGAATCTTTTACAAATGGGGTATCGATAGTACTATATTTGCTATCAGCACTTGAATTTTCAAAGTCCATAGGCATGAAACTTTCTGAATTGGACCTGAACAGCCCCCAGCTCATGAGAAGATCTCCCTTTCTACCAGAATGCAGTGGTGATAAAACTTCAACATACACTCCATATTTCTTATTATTTTTTCTAACGAGTAGCTTCAGCTGACCACCATTCTCTGTCCTAAATCGGTAAATTGCCACTTTTTCTGCAGTTTGAACAGAAACATCTGAAGTGGCCAAAGCCTTCCATGTATGAAGCTCATGAGAAATCCTTCTGACAGATTTTCCAAGTCCACTAAGGACTTGTTTATACTTTGCATCCATTTTCTGAAAACCACATGTAACCCCCTTATCATATTTACAACAACTGGCAGAAAATTTTGATAATTCGAGAGCTCCCAAGCTTAGGCATTGTGATTGCATCGGAAGAAGCATGGTTATCAGGCATGCAAAAATGATGAAACCAAAAGGTTGGATATTTGACTTGTCAAACTATCAACTTGATTCTCAATCTTTTCTGACAAACACAAGAATAACACGCTCTACTCAATATGGGATATAGGAACAGACTAAGTACAGAGTGAGGTCCTTTGATATCTAAAAGAGTTTATGAAATAAAAAATCCATGGTCCTCCCATTTTCCTTATTTCTGGAAGTATAATAAAGACTTTGAAAAGCTGTGCCTCACAATTCTTCAGAAATACTACTTAATTCCCTAATGAAATGGCCTTACTAATTGCTGGATTTATAAAATAAACGGTCTTTTTTTTAATCACGAACTTAAATGATTATAAAATAAACGGAAAATTATAAACTACTGAGTGTATAGCATTCAAAATGCTCCTCGATGAACATGTCTGAACCCACTGGACTGAAAAATAATTCGAACTTAAACAATTCCGAGAGATTCAATGACAATTCAATGAACTTAATCATAATATTCGTAGAAACAAAATAATTGGATCCTAATAATATAGTTATACGGATGATGCGGATCCTAGTAATTTAGTTCTACGGATTATGCAAACTGTGAACCCTAAAACATAAAAATCAAACTAATTGCAACAGAGGTAAGATAAAATTCAGTGTAAAAAAGGAGGACTAAAACTCACAGGAAATCTGCATTGGCGGTTTAAGTGGCTTCCACCGAAGAGCTTCATATCAGATGGTCCACCGATTTTTGGTTTGTGAGCTGAAAAGTGAGAGAGATAACAGATGATTTGATTCGCCTGGAAAATATCAATAATTATTATTTTTTTAAAAATTAAATATATTTTTAAAAGTTAAAAAATATTTTCAAATAAAAAAAATATATTTGGAAGAAAGACAGATACTTTTCATAAAAAATAAGTGTAATCAAACAGATCCTAAATATTTTTATCATGGGCTATGGGATCGGGATATGGCCCATGTGTGATGTGTGTGCGCAAATATTTTAGCCGATGATGAAGTTTCATGTTTGGCTAAGCTTACAAGTAAATCTACTTAGTAGAATGGAATAAGTAAGTGTGTTAACAGTATTATTAAGAATAATCGAATATTAATAGTGAAAGAAGTACATAGAAGGGGACGCTTCATGATGTCACATTTTACAAGTATGAAAAGTAATTCATTGTTAAATGATATTTTTTTTTAAATGATAGTACTACTAGATAGGACTCGATCTCTATAATAAATAAGGAGTCTGTTTGGGAGTGATTTTGAGAATTGATTTTTTGACCGTTAGGAGAAAAGTGGGATCCACTTGTGAGAGAAGAAGTCAAATATGACGGCTGGAATAGTGAAATAACGGTCAAAAAAATCAATTTTTTGAGTGAAAAAATGGGGCCCAAACAGGCCCAAGATATTAACTTTACGAAACTATTATAGGGGGAAAATATGTAAAATGGATAATTAATTTTGAAAAACTCAAAAAGGTTGAATAATAATCCGTGAGCTACGTAATTCTAATGACTAAGTGGGTTTTTTAAAACGTTGAAGATAGGTCGAAAGTAACTTTTGCAATGATAGAGTTATTGATGAGAAAAATCAAAACTGAACATCATTTAATAATCATGACGTGGTAGAATATAAACGATCACCTTCCACAAAATGTTGATTACAATAGGTTAAAATGCCACGTCATTTGGTAGCTTAAATAACAATATAGTTAGATAATACTTATAAATTCTTATTAAAACTAAACCAAGAATATTTTGATTGTTTTCAGCTGATCTACATATAAAAAATTATAAATGCGTTTGGATAACATTTGACGGACACTTTTACCCTCGTATATATTTCACTTGGTCAACAATGCCCTTAATTTACTAGCTAGGAATTTTCTCGAGACTTTTTTTAATCGTATATTGATTAATTGAGAAACCTATAAAAGACCTTAGAAATTTTTCTAAAATTCAGTGGCGGCCACTGGTTTCAATCAAAGGGGCTTGTTTTGATTATTTGTGTATTTCTACTGTCAAAACTATCGGAACTATGACAAATTAATCAACCAAGAAATTTAGCCCAGTTTGATTTAGATAATAATCAAAATTTTAGTATATTTTGATAAAAGTTGATGGAATGTGTGGTTGAAAAATTGTGAATTCCATCAAATGTGTTATTAATATTAAATTGAATTTTAATCCATTTTAGGTGGCTTAATATGGAATATGAACTAGCAAAGGAATTTCGAAATGCTAATTATTTAATCTAGAAAATTATATTACTTTCAATTAAAAAAAAATCATGAACTATATTAATTTATTTTATATCATAAATATTATTTTGCCAACCTTAGTAGAAATTACAGCTTCAGATCAAATGGTCAATTGATTTTTGATTTGTGAGCTGAAAAGTAGAGAGATAACAATTGTTTGATTGACATGCAAAATATCACCAAATTTTTTCTTATTTTTGAGAAAAATTAAGCATATTTTTAAGAATTAAAAAATATTTTCAATGAAACAAATAAATTTGAATGGAAAATTGATACCTTTGATAAAACATAAATGCAATTAAGCACACTCTAAATATTTTTGCCATGGGCTATGGGATCGGGATCTGGCCCATGTGTGTGCACAAAATTTTAGCGGATGATGAAGTTTCATGTTTGGGTATGCTTAATAAGTAAATTTATTTAGTAGAATGAAATAAGTGTTTTAATAGTACTCTGAAGAATAACCGAATATTAATAGCGAAATAGTACACAGGAGGGGACGCATCATGATGTCACCTTTTCTTAGACGGGCTACAGAGTGTGAAAAATAATTCATCGTTAAATAGTGTGTGTGTGTGTGTGTGTGTGTGTGTGTGTGTGTGTGTGTGTGTGTATTTTAAATGATAGTACTACTAGATGGGACTCGACTTGTATAATAAATAAGATATCGACTTTACGAAACTATTGTAGGAAAAAAATACGTAAAATGGAATTTTGAAAAATTCAAAAAGGGTGAGGAATGATCGACGAACTAGCGAACGCGTAATTCTAATGACTAAATGGGGTTTTAAAATGTTGAAGACAAAGTAGGATAGGAAATACACGCAAGTCGAAAGTAACTTTTGTAATAATAGATTTCTTGATTAGAAAAATCAAAATTGAACTTCATTTAATAATCATGACATGGCAGAATATATTTCACCTTCCACAAAATGCTGATTACAATATGTTGAAATGTCACGTCATTTGGTAGCTTACATAACAATAGAGTTAGATAATACATTATAAATTCTTATTAAAACTAAACAAAGAATATTTTGATTATTTTCAACTAATCTGCATATAAAAATAAAAAAATAAAAAAGTGTTTGCAAAACATTTGACGGACACTCTTACCCTCGTATATTTTTGATTTGGTCAAAAAGGCCCTTAATTTAAGGGCTAGGAATTTTCTTGATACTCTTTTTAATCGTATATTGATTAATTGAGAAACCTATAAAATAAATATTTACATGTTGGGTGACGAGTTATTGCTACTAAATTTTTTAATATGCTGTGTTTTTTTTCTTTTGCTTAGTTTCATGTTTTGATTTACATTTTCACTTAATAGATGGAAATTTTTGGGTCTCATTAAATTTTACCATTATTTCTAATAGGTTACGAAGCAGAAGCAAAAAGGGAACTGACGTGTATTGTTCACGAAATAATTCTTTCGATTTAAAACTACCGCAAGTGTACGGATCGTGACAAGTAATAAAGTGGATTTTTAAAAGTCCGAATATCGTCCCATAGAGATTGAGTAGTTCAATTCTATATAATCTAACCTTAACCGAGTCTAATTGAGTGAAAATATGGCCCAAATGCAAAAAGCCCTAATTTCAATTAAAAACCCTAATTTCTCAATTAGGAACCCTAATCTCAAAATTTCTCTAACTAAACGACTCAAACACTCAAGTAAATGAAATTATGCAAATTCAAAAGCTAATTTTTGGAAATGAATCAAAATAAAGTCACTAGGATCACGAATCCCCAATTGAAGCTATAAAAACCCTAATTTCATAAAATCAGTGACCCGATGGAAATTTGCCAATTCAATGTTCCTAAATCTATCCAACATATTCTCTCGATATATATTAGACATATTCTTGCACACCACCAGCTTATATCTCTATGGATGATGCAAATATACAAGAATGCATGTGATTTTGTGAACAATTAGATAATTGCATAAAGCATAGGGGTCTATCTCTATCCCCTATCGAACCCTATGTTGATTTACACCTTATCGAACCTATTCCACTTCTCTCGAATGTAAGAAATAAGTCATCAATACTCACACAATCATTGGCCACTAATTGCGAAAGAAAATCAATGCATATAAACCAATCAAATTGTTCAAACGAGTCTTTCTATTAAAATCATGAAATATGAAATTAAAATAACAAATAATGGTTCATCGATCACCTAGTGAATTGAAAACCTAGCCTAGAATATTCATAATTACAGAATAAAAAAAATGAAATTAATAAATTGAAAGAATAGCACCCGTATGAAAATTTCTTGAAATCTTGAATAAAGCCTTGAAAACCCGCTTGAATTCTTGTGGAATCAGCTTCAAGATCGTGTTTCTTGCCTCCAAAAGTTATAATTTTCTTCTCCCTGGACATTCTACCCTATTTCTGATGAATTTTGGCTTTTATATCATATCCTCACGGAGCCCCGAAAGAGTTTCAATCAAAAACGCAAGTTCAGAATTTTTTTTTGTTTTTTATAGCCATGCGGCCGCATGGTGTTAAACCATGCGACCGCATGGTTAAAGTGAAATGGCCCATGGAATCCCTACAACCTTATGTGCGGCCGCAAGGTTGTAACTTTCAACTTTGCTGTTTTGGTCCTTGAACTTCGTTTTCTCTTTTCTTGATCTCTTTTCTTTCTTTCCTTTGTTTCATCATCAAATATTAACTCCTAATTGACGTTTGGGTCAATCAATTCCTTGATCACTTGCTCGGCTCATCTTTTGATTAATTGCAATTTAGTCCTTCATCTTTCACTTTTCTTCAATTCAGTCCAATATTACTTCTTTCTTCCTCCGATCGTCTTGTATCGTCTTCAAGCTCATACTTGGCATATTTTCATTCTCGTTCTGCACTTTAGCTCAACTTTCCAATATTTACACCTTTGGTGCCCGAACTATCGCTTTGTTCCGTTTTGGTCCTTTTTCGGCTCTTTTCTTCTGAATTCCATCTTTTCCATAGAAATACCTATATTGCATGAATTTAACGAGATTAAGTCACAATTCAACTACTTTGTCCATGTTTAAGTCATGTTTATGAGCTAAATATGTGTGTAAAAACACACTTATCATGTATTTTATTAAATTCATATTTTTTTACTTTGCTTTTTGTCAACAAAGTAAGGAAAATTCTAAAAGAATTGGAATCAATGGTCGATAAGCTCTCTTCCAATCCAGTGAAGATAAAATTTTTGCACTAGCATACAAATAATTTGAGCATGTATGACTAAGTATAAAAGAAGTAAAGTTCACCATAATGTAATATTTATATTTTCAAAAATATTTGAACATATTACTTTTTGATATTTAAGTAAAAAAATTAAGTCTCACATTCCTATTAGGATAAGTAATTTATTTATTTTTAACTTCTGAACTTATATCATTAAAAATACTTATTTAAAAATTCAAAAGTAATTATTCATAAGTAAAATCTTTTAAGATAGTTAAAGAGATATATCTTTAGAAAAAAAAAGACATAAAAAATAAACATTACACAATATAT